CATTCATTTACTTAAAATTTAACAATTCATGTGTTTAAAAATATATATATATATATATTTAACTATTTCTCGAAAACATGATCGAAACAGCCATTTAGGAATTATTATGCTGTCGTTGTACGCATACATTTATTCTCAGTATGCATTGAGAATGATCGAGTTCAAGATACTTCGCGAAATACTTAATGATACAATATGTGCTTACTAAGAAGAAAAATATTCTTATTGTTAATTACGGCACTCTTCCCTTAACGTCCTAGTTTAATCAACTTTATTCAGATTGAGACGCACAAATCACTCATTCCACTTGTGATGAGAGCTAAAAAACTATAATAAACATTGATATCCATTTGGATTCATGTCGATATTCCAAATATAGTTAATTCTTGGCGATTTTTACGCGTGTACATTTCAGTTTCACATTATTTCGATATTTTTACATATATATAGCTTTTATTTCATCGCTTGAAGATTCGATATTTTTATATATGTATAGTTTTCATTTCACCGCTTGAAGATATTTAAACGTATTGATACCATTTATACAGGAGGCAATGCAGTTGAAATTTTACTTACAATGATCACATTTTCAAAAAATATCCAGATCAGCGATGTAATTATCGCGTATTTTCCTTGTTATGAATAACCCTAGAAACATGCGCAACGAATGCTAATTCGAATGCACTAATTCAATTTCCCCATTATATATAAAGTAGAAACTCATGACTTTACAAACTAATAATCAGTGCTTTAAATCGAATATTTCTATAAGCAGCGGCTCTACGCTGGATGGATTGACATTCAAGTAAACTCCTACGACCTCATCATTCAGTTTATGGAGTTCAGAAATCTTCTGTATTAACTTGAGGAATGTGGACTTAGCTTCGCAACCAGGATAAACACTCTCGAGATACCGTCTAAGGAGATAATAGTACGAATTCTGAAAGAAAGAAATCTATAAAAAATATAATCTTACAACTTTAATTTTCTAAATGTTTCATATAAGATAAACAAATAAGACTTTGCTAAAAAAAAACATGTTATATAAATTGACTGTTAACTTTTATATTGATTTAATATTATGTAAATTTTACTGTAAATCATATACATGTATTTTAATGTATAAGAATAAGTATCTTAGAATAAGTAACTTAAAAAAATTTTTCGAATTACCTGCTCCAATTTAATAACATCACCATGTACAACTCTCGGTCTATCAGGAGTAAACAAAGCAATTGCGCTTAAAATCAAAATGATGTTTTCATCTCGCCACCGAGGGTCAAATGTTCTGACGAACCTTGCGTGCTCCGCATATAAATTTCCTTTCGCTTCTTTCAGAACGTCAACTTTGATACTTGACATGCTTTCTTGACTATGGGGTATCTTCCACATGTCTTTATCCGGATCGTAATTAATAGCCGATCTTAAGATCATCATTTCTGTGCAGCCACCTTTTAACAGAGCCAACTGATCCTCTTGACACATATTCTTAAAGGCGTTTATCTTCTTAGACATCTTTATTAAGCGTCTAATTGCTATAGCCGTTAAATTTATAACATCTAATAACATTGGATCAGATTGTCCAAAATTACTCTGCAAATAAATATTTTATGTTTATAATTATCTATCTTTCCCAAATTATACATATACGAAAGACAACATTTTGGATACGTTACTTTGAATTTACAGTCCTCATCAACCAAATTCGTTATATCATCGTCCAACGGAGCTAATAATGCTTTGTTAGCAACTATCAGCTCATTCAATTTTGCTCTCTCGGCATCATTCAATTCCCTGCTGCTTTGATTGCCACCGAAACTAGAAAATGCTGAGTATTCTAATTTGATGGCTTCACATAAGATAGACTCTATAGAATTGGCAGCAATAGCTATCCTGAAACAAATATTAAATTTTAGGCGGATTTCATAGCGTATCATTAAAATATGACACCTAATATGATGCATCGGACTACCTTTGAACGTCCTGAAGAATATCTCTGGTAACGTCGGCTGTATTTTTATTCCAGTTTACATTTGTATTAGGTTCTAAATTTTGATCTTTGCAATCTTCCGAGTTACGGTTCGTAATCAAGTCCGTCAGGATTGGATTTTCCACGTGACTCCCTTTAGATCTTGGCGTATATCTAGAATCACTCGAACCACTATTATTTTCCGGAGCTTCTTTGGATTGAACTTTTGTTTTGACATCACGGCCAATGATCGTCGTATCAATTGCGTTATTCTCCTCCAAGAATTGCGTAATATATGGATCCGTTGCCAAGCACGTGACCATGTCAGGATCTGTCATAATCTTCATTATTACTCTCCGATCTTGAAATATTTTTGCTACTAAATTTGGATTACTGACAAACTTTGTTAGTAGGCTGGGATTCTGCTTAAACTTTGCGACCAAATTACTCCCGCTTGAACACGTTTCCTTCGGTTTTTGACATATTGATGTCTCCTCTTTCGTAAGTTGCGATGACAAATCCAGGTCAGACTGACTTGTTTCGTCTTGCAAAGCGCGATCTACATAAGAATTCTGTTCGTGAGTTTGCTCAAATTTAGAATAATTTGGCACGTTTTCTTCGAACGCAGAATTGTAATTTAATGATTCGCAGTTAACATCTGCGAACTCAGAATTGAATTGCAACGAATTTTGTTCGTATTTCCTTGAATTCAGAGAAGAGTTTTTATTCGTCCCTACACTCTGAGGCGCTACATTGAGATCGGCGAATCTCGTGCGGCTGTAAACAGATAATATCTATTTAATCTTTATTGATTAATTCATTTCTGTGTCCTTCTCTACATATTAGATAAGTCGGTTATACCTTGCAAGATTAGTCTTCAAACCGTGAACGGACTCCTTCATCATGTCTAAAGTCTTTGTTTCGGCGATATTCGTATTCTCTGGTGGACTTGAAGGACTTGGCACACTCGCTGCTGTCACTGGACTCATACTTTCAACAACGTTTTGCCTATTGCTATCTAGGTCTGTGTATTTTCTATCGGATTCCCAAAAGTATGTTTCTGATATTGTCGACGCGACCGAATTGACCGACATTGACGTGTCTTCAAACGTACAGTCGTCCATGCAGTCCTTCTTGGTCTTCAATGTTTTGTCATTGTCAAGCTGAGATCGTTTCTTTGCGCGGTTTTTTTCGATCTTCTTACGTTTCAAGACCTTGTCCTCCTCAGACATAATATGTTCCTTGCGCATGCCAATATTGAAACATTTGTCCAAACGACATTTTTGACAAAATCGTCTGGTTATAGTCGTAATATTACAGTTTTCCGTGAAGGGGCATTTAAAGTCCTACAACAAGAATACATGTTTCTTTTTAACCTATAATGTATAAAGTATGTTATTTTACACGTTTACTGATAACATTCTTATAAATTTCAAAAAGTATCATATAAGTAAAGAACTTCGTTATCTTGACATCTGTATCGGTCTGTTTTTAATTAATCTCACAAATAAATCATAATTTTTTGTCCTGCTAAATAAAAATTATTTTAAATGCAAAAATATTAGTTTTAAATGCTAAAACATCAGTATCTGAAAGAAAATACATCTTATCTAATATATTCTTAATAGTCCATTATCAATATATTTCAACGTGCAGATGTTGCTTCTAAGATTAATAATTGTATTTTTTGTTCATACGTTCATTATTAATCTTTCGGAAGGTCAAATGAGATGTTTCAATCGCATTAGTAAACAAATTACAAGTACTGCAAATTACAAGTACTGCAAAGTTCTTCTCAATAACAAGATCTTCAAAACAATTGTTAAATTATTAATTAGTTATAGAAAATTAAAAAAATTTTCGATTTAAGAAAGATTTGATTCACTTTTTGAGTGTGAAAAAATTGAATTTGAATGAAGTTCTCTTTAAGATTAATCTTCTTGAGTTCTTTCAAAATGATTCAAACTAACTAATACATTTAACACAACGACGTGATTTATTTATTTATTTATTTTTTTTTTTTGAGAACTTGAAATTCATAAAGCATTAGATTACTAATGAGTCATATGCAATCATCCAACAATGTTTATCTAATATATAATTCTTTTAATAAGTTATATTTAAATTTAAGAAAGAATTTCTCGACTTTAAAATTAATACTGGAAGATAAAATGAAATTTATTTTTTAAGTTTCTCTCTCCCTCAGAAATAATTACGTGAACAGAAAATTCATTAGAGTCTTCAAGAATTCGAGGTATTATGCCTGTATTCATAATCAAGCCTTATATTAAAGACTTCCTTAAATTTATCTCTAGATGCTCTAAGAATTACTTTATTGGCTACTGAACAAAAGATAAATTTAAGAAAGCCTTAAAGATCCGACTATAAATACGGACTAGATTCAAAATCAAGATTTTCTGAATATAGAATTAAGATTATTTACTCTGAGAGAAATCAGATAAAAATGCTTCAAATTGGAGTGGAATTCACCTTGTTCTTCAATGCGTTTCTCCTGAAGAAAGCCTTGCAGCTCTCACAAGAAACAGCGCTGAAGTTGTAACCAAGTGCCCGGTCACCACAGACTCCACAGATCTTGTTGGCTTCCCTCACCGGCTGTTCATCATCCATTGCTCTTGGATCAGCGTACTCCACGATTAACACGTCTTATCTACTCGTACAAGCAGTAACATCGTTCTGTAATCTTGCTTTTACTCTGCTCCTCTCACCCTCGTCTTATCCCGTTCCTTGCAACGTCCTCTTGCTCGCGGAGCGCCATTGACTCACGTCAACATTGTTTATCACGTCCGTAGTGCCTGCCGGGGGCCAGGTCGGAGTTCGGATTTCACGACAGCATCTTCTTCTTCTTCTTCTTCTTCTTCTTCTTCTTCCTCGTCCTCCTCGCCCAACGCAGCTAAACACGCCCCGCTCAAATCCGCGCCTACAAAAGTTTTCTAAGTGATAGTGCCGTATA